AAAAACAGTGACAATGCACTTGATAATTCTACAAGGTTATTCGATTTATATATAGAGTTCAAAATATTTTTTGTATTTTGGACAATTATAACCGAAATATTTGAGGAAATAATTTATTTTATTTAAAATCATTGTTTTTAATTTGCACATATTTTTATTTTTAATTGGCTTAAAAATCTAAAAAACCATTTTGAATGTTTTTTGTGTATTTTTGATTCACATTGAAAAGGTTTCACAAGAAAATAACACTGATAAGTAAATAATGATAATAAAAATTTATCATTATTTATGTCACTTGATATAAAGTATAAAATAGTGATGAACCAAAAAAATTAGCACATTTTTTAAATACAGTTTTTAAATAAATTAATAAATTAAATTAAAATCACACAATGAATTTAAATATTGGTTTAAATTATAATTAATATTATTAAGTATTTAGTTATTGCAAAAAAGTAGTGTTGTATAATATATATTATAATACCCCTGAAAAATTATTGTTGAAAAAATAAGTATTTTTTTAGGAAACAAATGTATCAACAAAAAATAAATAATTTAAAACAATCAAATAAAACATGGAACAAAACTGAAAAAATCATTTATGATTATATTTTTAATCATTACATTATGCTCTATAAGTTTATCTTTGAAATGTACTGTTGATACTATTGGAAATTCTACATGTTCATGTTCGTGTATAGACACACCCATGGATGAAGAAGATGTTAATGAGTGTCTTTTTGTTAACACAGAAGAATGCACAGAAGGACTCAAACTAATTGTTGAGACTGATTTGGACACTCTTGAATTGGGTAATTTATTTTTGTACACACAAATTGACACTGAAATAGAACCGGAAACTTTAGAAAACAAAGAACTGACTGAAATAAAGTATTTGGAAATACGGCACAAAACCACATTAGATGACACCAAAATAATAACAATTACTAACTCACCCAACGAACATGCTTCTGTATCGTTCTTGAACACCAAAATAATTGGAAGTTACAAAATATCATATATATCTCTTGGATATGCTTCTTCTGTTATTCTTGAAAATACGTTTGGATATTTTAAAGATTCCTTTGCATATAATGTAACTTCAAATTTAAGTGGAATCTTCATGATAACAATGGACTCTGGAGTTACTTCAATTGGCGGTTTCAGTTACTTTGTAAACAATTCTCATGTCAGGTGGTCGACCATTTCGGGACTTGAGAAGTTGTGCACATACTCAGAAAGTGGCAAATACATAGAAATAGAATGTGATACTATTAAACATGACAGAATGACTCTTGTTGTGACAGAAAGCATTTTTACACCCATTGATATAACTAAAGGTCCATGGCTCTCAGTTCAATTTAAAAATGCTTCAGTGACTATAAACACACCAAATCCAGACAATCAAGAGTTGTATATTAATGGTACAGAACAATCTGAAATTATATTTGCTGGAACTTTCCATATAATGGGTGGACTGACTTCATTCTACAAATTCTCGTTTGTACCAAGTAGTTCAAACATAATTGATTCGTCGTTATTCAACGTGACAATAATTAATCTTTCAGATGATAGCACAAAAATTTTATATTTGGGAATTAATGAAACAACAACGGCAACGACCCAAGACAATTACCCGTTGTATTCAGTCCAACTCAGTGCAATATATTATAGAGTTACCACAGACAGAAACTACATCTACTGCACAAGTTCAACTGGAACCGAATTTGAAGAGGATGACTGCAACTCAGAGCTGATGACTGATGAAAACAAGATGACTCTGAAATACACTGGCGACCAAAAGACACTTCCACATATCAATAATCACAAGTCGTTTTTGACGTACGAATTTAAAGAGAGTGATAACGTGGACACTATTGAAGACTACACTTTTAATACATTAACTGTTAATTCCAAAAATATATATTTAACTTCTGTGAATATTGATACGTTGACTATTTTAGAGAAATTTGAATATGGTACCTGCTTTACTGGAACAACAGGAAGTGTGGTGAGTAATTTCATTAAAACTTCAAGTGCGGGATATATTCTTCATGATGGATCTTTAGTCAACGAAAAAACAAACATAGTCGGGGAAAATATCAACACTCAGACTTACTACAGAGCTTTGGGAGAGTTGTGCAAATTTGGGACAAAATGTGAATTGACATGTGACACTGGGTCGTGCACTTTTATTCAACCAGACTGTGAAGAGTATACCACTGGAAACAAAGTTACTTTAGTTGTTGGGGATGGGACAACAATAATAAATTCTATCGGCTCAAAAGGTGTTAAAGTGTGGAATTATGATGTTTGTGATTTGAGTGCTGCCGGTGACTTGACAATATCAAGTGATTTACATTTGACTTGTGAAGAGGTGTCTAATGGAAATAAAGCACTCGTGATAGTCAGTGGAGCAATTAATATCACAAAGTACACATCTACTGCAACTGAAATATCACTTCTTTCGAGTGTACCAAATCAAATTGTATTGACTAATACCAATTTTATTTGGGTATACAAAGATGGGAAGGATGACGAGTTTTGTTTCCAAATATCAGAAAATTACTATCGTTGCACAAAAACTGCTAATGTCGATTTAACAAGTTGCGTGTTTTCAACAAAAACAACAACAAACTATGTAGATTGCGTACAGGAAAATACACGACATGTCGACTTAAATCGAATGACTGTAACACTGGATGAATACACAACTTATGACCAAGAAACGACATTTAATCAACTTATCCTAATTGGAAAGACAACAAGTTGCAGAATTACAGCGTCGACATTAACAGTGGCAAGTAGAGTCGATGTGTCGGCGTGTGACTTTTTTAAAGTCCAATTTAAAACAAGCAAAAGCGTTGAAATGAAAACAGCATCTGTTGCAAGTGGATTCATCACTGTTGATAACGATTTAATTTTTTTGAATGCAAGTGATGTAACCTCTGTGTCTATTTTAAGTAATAAACATATCACTGGTATATTAGAATCAAGTGGTATTGAAAATGTGATAAGAGACAACACCGGAAATGAAGTGCAATACTTTTACACCAATACTTTAAAGTGCACTTTTACTGAAAAGGAATTTGCAGAGTTTACTGTATGTTATTATATTCTTTATTATAAAACAATATCAGTGGAGGTTCCAACAACAAACACTGTTGTTATAGATGCAAAAGAAGGAAGAGTGTTCAAAGACATTGTTAATGTTCCAACCACTGGCACTCTTGAACAACCAAACTTATCTATTATGACTTTATCTGTTGAAAGTACTGGATTATCAATTACTTTAAATGAAATAAATGATCTGACTTTGGACCAACCTTGCTGTTTTATTGCCAAGAAAGTAACAAATCTCAATGTAAATTCTCTTGGGTGTTATATCACAATTGATAATGTCGAATCTTCAGTGAATTTTGAAACGACGGATATTTATTTTAACGGTGAAATAACGACAACAGTAGATGTAAATAAAGTACAAGTTCACAATACGTATCATCGATATGGCACAATATCGAAAGACTGCACAATAGAAACAAGTGGAGTGTATAAAGAATATGATTGTAATGATAAAGACAGAGTGGATACTGAAATGTATATGAAATATGTTACTTCATTTAATGTAGAATCAATGGCAAAACCATTTTTAATGTGTTCAATTGAAAAGGACGGACTCGTGTTGAGCGAATTGAAGTGCAAAACAACAATTATTAAAATAGACACTTTTACCATAACAAATTCTAATTTGGGTTTACTTGATATTAACGAAGTTGATAACACAGCGAGATTGATTGATGGAGAGACAACTCATGTGATGGATGTTTTAACTTTGGCCACTTCAGATAAACCAATTTTCTATGGTATCACACCATTAACTATTAATGGAACAAATCCTAACTTGGTATCACAAATAATTACCTCCAAGCACGTCAGGTATTTCGGAAACAAAAACTCACATACAAAATGTGTATATGACACGGCTAACACGTTTGATATCAATGATTGTAACACAGATGCGTCAATTGGGTTGGATTTGACGATAAAAATAAACGGATACAACTTCCCGGTTTTCAAATTCAATACGATTGTTACAACAACTGAAGTTGACACAATTAAGTCTTTAAATGCAACCACTTTTACGCCATTTGCTTCTTTTGATAAGTTGACAATAAGTGACGTTATGACGGTGGACACATTGGAATTGTCTTCGACATATAAGTATCTCTATATTTCAACGGGAAAAGAGACGCCATCTATCATCAAAGCGATAACGGGCGGACTTGATCCAATTTTCATTGGGAATGCGGATGTACCAACTGATTTTTCTTTTGTAAATATATTGACAAACAAAAATCGATATTTTAGAGGTGTGTCACATTTGAATTGTAACTGTAAAACTACAGACACGTTCAAAGAGTGGGATTGTGACAATGATGACGATATCAGTATGAAAGGAATTGAATGTACTGACGAGACAATTCAACAATTTACAATACCAGCAACTTCATCTAATAAATTCAAATCAGCAACAATTTCAAGGTCTTTGAAGTTGTATAATATAAACGTCAGTACACTTTATATAAACAATGAGAGTTATACGGTTGAAGGAAGGGCAGATAACATAATTGTTCAGAAGGAACATAAAGATGGTACTTACAAAGGTACTATGGGAAGTATATCAGCAAATGACACTAGTTTTAACAATGAATTAACTCATTATTTAACAAACAGTGCCGAAGAATTAACTCCAAACATCAACGGAATTTATTTCATTAAAATTAAAGACATGAAATACAGAGTTTCTACGTTTAACAAGTATTACTGCACTTATAAAAATGACGTTGAAGGTAAAGCAACATATTTCGAATCAGATTGTTTGTATTCTTCTGATCAACAAATTTTGAAGATCGGTGAGACGGTGCCACTGGAAACAACGTCATTTGCACTGGCTGGGAAAAGTGTTCGACCATTTATCGCACTTGAAACGACACAAAACGTTTTGAATATCAAAACCGTCAATTTGACACTTTTGGAAGGAAACAGTTCAATTGGAAAGATGCAATACACGGTGGGATATATCGAGACTTTCCAGCCTGTTCAAGGTCTTGAATATACAATTAGTTCAACTATTAACAATGTTGTTATCAACTACCAACAAACTGATTCGTATATAAACGGAAGTGTGAATACGGTCACAAATGCAGATTCGATTGTCTCTCATGTTCTTTTTGTATTGAATTCTGTCAACACCCCGACTATTACAAACACCAAAATTGGAGAGAATTTGTATAGAATAAGTTCAAAATTATCTATAACTCAGAACACCAATGACCAATGTGTATTACCTTTATACACAAATTCATTATACAAATTTCCTTTAGAAGGAAATTTGTATAATGAGTTTGATTGCAACAAATATGCGGAAGACGGAAATAACATGTTAAAGTTGATATCTGAAAAACAGGAAGTTGATGTCACATTGTATCATCTTAAATCATTCAATGAAGCATCTTTATTGAAAGCTACGAATATTAAAGGTCTAATTGTTAAAACTCTAACCACAAATGAAAACTCTATCATTTTTGATAGCTGTGACATTACCTCGATAACTTTCACTGAGCCAATCATAAAGCAATACTTCTTCAAAAATTCTAAAATAGATAGTTACAATGGAAAATTGAACCCAATATTTGTACTTGATGAAGACTCATACAATAAATACGTGGAAGCTTCTTCGAATTTAAAGGTTACACTTATTTCAACAGATCCAATGTTATATAGAGCAAAAAAGGATGTAGTTGATACAATATGCACAATTTCTACATTAAACGGGTTTGATGAATGGGATTGTAACAAATATGTTGAAACCAATCCAAGTGATGCGTTAATGACACTTCATGTTCAAAGTAACGGAAATGAAATACCAACAAAGGTGCTTCATTTTAAGACCGTTGTTTTTGCTAATGATTCATTTTACGATTTGTCTTACAAAAAAATAAGTTCTTCTGTTATGAAACTTGATACATTCAGTTTGCTATCCACAAATTCAAAAATCTATTTCAACATGAAAGTTGAATTGGATACACTTGATATTAGCAAAACAGTTGACCAAACATACGCATTTGTCGTATTCAATAAAGGTCTGGACTTGGCAAAGAAAACTGGCACATCAACATCAAACTATTTTGCCTTGTTAGGTGGAAGTACTTCACTATCTTCAAGTGCACCATTAAAGTCAGTGACAATATATGAAGGATATAGTAGAATTACCGATATTGACACACTGAGTTGTACTTATAACAAAATAGAAAACACATTTGATGAACTTGATTGTCGAAGTGAGAATTCGAATGAAAAGTACTACAAATTCACATCTTCTAATTTTATACTAAAAATTGTTGACACTGAAATAACTTATTCACTCCAATCAACACACTTTAAATCAATGGTATATCCACTTGATGAAACAAATAATACATTTACTTTACAAATGGGTTCAAAGCAACTTACTTTTGACACTCTTGAAATCAGAGGCATCCCATCGATAGATAGTCAAGTCACTGTGAATTCTGAAATTAAATTTGACCAAACAATCGGCTCCGATTTTATGAACCGAATGATTTCTTTCAATTTTGGGACTGCAATACGCCTTCTAGTTAAGACTTCATCAACAGACACTTACACTGAAACCACGACAGTTGCAGATACTTCAATTCCTTTGTTTACAGGAACACTCAGTGGCAAACAGCCATCATTTTTAAATAAAGATTCATGTCAAACGAGTGTGTATTACTTTAAAACTAGTCTCTCAAACTGTTTTTGTATCTTAACTGGAAACACACTCGACAAAAATATCAATTCATTTGAAAGTGAAACTGCAAAAGATTGTATTTCCGATTCGGCAACTACTATATTTACTTTACAAGTACCAGAAACTGTAACTACTGTAAATGTTGCAAGAGAAACGTCATCTTTTGATCGACTTGTTTTGAAAAACGATCAGGGAGTGACATTTAATAAAGATACTACAATGACTGGAAATGTTGTTATTTCATTCACATCACTTGAAATAAACAGTCCTTTCTTCTTCAATGAAGGTGTTGTAGTGCATATCACCAAATTCACTTTTGGTGCAAATGGATTTCTGAGACTCATAACAACGGATGCAACCACATTTCCTTCAACGTATCCAAGTGCTGGTATTTTAATTATCAGAAACGGAATAACACAATCATCCCCACCAACAAATGCAAAAACATGCTCTACGATGACAAATGGTGATATTCGTTATGTTTTACATGATAAAGTAACAGATGATACAGATGATGGTTGTTTGTGTCTAAATCAACTTGCTGACTGTAAATATAAGGACTTTTCAACATATTACAATATAAAGGTATCATCTTCTTTGAGTCTCGAGAGTGATTTTAATACATTTGTATTTGACTTACCAAATCCACAGACTGTATTGACAATATCTTCATTGAAAAGCGTGACTGTAGATACCATGAATATAATTAATATTAGAAATTTGGCTCAAGTCATTGTGAGTGGAGAAGTTAAAGTGAAAAAATTGTATAACCAAGAGGTTTACATACTATTTGAAAATTATATACCTGATGAACTCTATCCTGTTTCATCAACTGAAGCTTATAAATTCAACTCAATTTTAAATGGAATCAGTGGTGATGTTTATTATAGTGGCAATTGTGGAATAGACGGAGGCCATTATTATAGGAATGTATATGGTTCAGGTGTACCAAATTGTAGTTGTTACTTCAATTCAATGTACCCCGACTGTCGAAATAAACCAAACAATTTTGACTTGAAATTGGATGTACCGAAAAATGGAGAATTCCCAATCACGTTGAAATGGAAGAGCATTGATGTTATAAACATTGATACAACTCCGTTGAATTTAATTACTTTATCTGCAGATGGAAACACTTTCATTGTCGGGAATAAGAACTTCAAAATATCATCAACACCAAGTAGAGAAGCAACACTATTATTTGGTAACACCAACACCGCATATGTCGAAACCAGTGGAGTTAATGTTGTTATAAACGCACCCACCGAAGTTACATATCCTCTTTTTGTGTCAACAGATTTGATTAATACGTTAAACTCAATTAAGTGCAATGCAGTGTATAGGTACTTTGCTTCTGGATCAACTCAACACTGCGACTGCACACTTGTAAGTCAAGACGGTCAGTTGAATAGTCTTGACTGTGCGTTCCAAAGCACCAATTATAACGCAATAACAACACTCAGTTCTATAACAATAAAGAACAATTGGTATTCACTTACAACTTCAAGTACAGGTACTTTGACAATTAATCTGGATTCAAAATATATCACTTCCATATACACAAAGTGTGAGACATACATCACAGGAAATTCCTCGGGCCCTTCTCAAATAATTCCAGATGGAAATTATTATGTCAGAGTAGATTTAGCAACAACAAGTACACAAATGACAGTAAATATTGATAACTGCAAAAAGTATTGTCTCACATATGTCAAAGGCGTCGCTGCACCTAACACACAATGTGGTGCAGACAATTTTAGAGTATCTCAAAACTTAAACTGTTATTGCTCAATACAAGCTGGTGGTAATTTATATGACGAGTCTGATTGTAACCACGACTCTGATCTCTTTTCGTATGACTTGTATGTGTCCATACAAAATTTGGACTTAAAACAAGCGAAGAAATATAATAAATTACTATTCTCTGATACCAGTGAACATATTCTCACATCAAGTCAAAAGATTGAATTTACTCAATTTGACGTCAACAACAAAGTAACACTGAATATAGTAGATTTTGTGATAATGAATTTGGTCCAAAAGGATACAGAAAAGACTATCACTATCACTTCTTATGGAACGATTACCAATTTGACACCAATAGCATCTGGATTTGTTTTGTATACAAACAAAAATACCGAACAGAAATTGACTGTCACAAATATCGTGAATGCGCCAACTCAATGTTTTGATGTTGTTCTTTCTGGTGCAACAAATCTTGTTCATACAAAGGTAGTCACACTCAACTCCAAACAAACTATCAGAACCAATGAATGCACCGATTCGGACGATCTTATTTGTTATTTAACAACAGAAACAGATGACTATGACAAACAGTTTTCAACTATTAATTGTCCCTGTGATGTCTCCAATTCTGAAGAAACGGTAAAGTGTCAAATTAGAGTACAAAACGACAATTTCAGAACATTTGTGATGGATCACAATATTAATGCAACATTTAAGGTCGATAAAAATTTGATAATTTCTTCAAGTAAAACCACTCAATTACAAATACAGAGTCTGGTATCATCAACCGATTTAATAACAATCAATGCAAATAACGGATTATCAATTGAATCTTTGACCATTTCCAAACAAACAACTATCAGCGGAAATGTTGATATTAAGAGAAGTATGGGGAGGTATGGTGTTATTTTGAAAGATAACACAATGGAAATTACTCTCACGAACTTCCAATTTAGTTCGATTTTTACAACATCAACACAAAGTATTGTTTTCCCATATATTATCAAATCCGGTGCTGAAAGTTTTGATTTGAACTGTATTAAGTGTATTTTGGAAGGAAGACAAACAATTGATAATTTGTATATTGGAAATGGGAATGAATATACAGTTGATGAAACTAACACAAACACAGAAATATCAACTATTAATAATATAATACTTCTTGATACCGGCACATTAGTCAAATTGATGATTAATGGTGCTGTCAACTTCGGTAATATACATTCACCAAACACCATTTACTATCCAATTGTTATATCAAACTTAAATAAGCCGGAGTTAGTCACTGTAACAACAAATTCTGCAGTTCAAAAAATGTGCAATGGACTTCTTGTGTTTGGAACCAATTTTGATCAAAAACAATTCTGTTATTCAAATGATATTAAAACAATTCTTTCCTCGGATGATGTAATGTGCACAAGTACATCCACCCAATGTATATTAGAACTAATTTCACCTTCTGGTAGCATCACTTCTTCAATCACTCAAAATTACGATTCGGTGATATGTAAAACTTCAGTATGTACCATTGCATCATTGGGAGAGAATGTGAAGAAACTGAATTTGATTGGAGAGAATGGAAAGAACAACAAATTTGTTCTACCAGAATTCACGGAGTCCAGGTTTGTAATAAGAGCTTCTAACTGTTACTTAGAGTTAAAAGGCAAAACACAAGTAAGTGCAGATACATCTGTCACGATTGTTTCTTCAATTGGAGTTTTAACATTGTATTCAACTAAACTGGATGCTATTCTAAGTGCAGACAATGTTGATATATATGGAGATGTCGTTATACTAAATGGAATGAATGTGAATACTTTGTTAAATCTAAAGAGTGGTTCTTTGAAAATCGGAGGGGAGCTAGGGTTTGTTGGATTAACCGTTGAATCCAAATTTGGAGCACTTAGAGCGACGACTTTGAGCCAAACAACAACAGGTGTAATTAGTGCTTCAAAGTATTACAATCACTATGCAGACAATTATATTAACTGTGCACCAATCAACTCTGTTTTAACTACAAACAACAACCAAAAGTCATTCAAATGTTACACAACTAATGTTGAAGGCATCGATTTAATGAATGACAACTCATACATGAATCATATCGAACAAAACTGTAAGAGTTTGTTACTACCAATTTCAATAAACTCTGTGCGTATAAGTAGTGCAGAACATGTGACTGTAAATTCAGTAGTTTCTGTTGACGTGTCAAATACCAAATTTGGAGGATCATATACATTCACCAATTTTAATGCAATCCAAATGGCTACCTTTTTGGGAGAAGTGAAAATAACATGTCCAGTAAATTCCGCGTCATTCACAATTACAATATTGGGTAATGGAGTTATAAGTAATTGTCCCAATGTGATCCACAATTCAATAAATGATGTAACACTCAATCAAGTGCCAAAAGTTACAATTCAAAATAATGGAATTTTTACACTCAACAGCGATCAGAAAAATCTTGCTGTTACCTTTGAGAATACAAACTTTAACAAGACAATTACCTTGGATGTCGAACTTGAAACTTTGGATATCAACAACGCTGAGTCGTTAACAACTACCGATTTTGTATTGTTCTTATTATCAAAACCAGTATCGAAGGGAACTATATCTCCATTAAGTTATAAATGTAACAAAATGAATATTGTCAGTGGAAGCCCTTCCTTTTTCTCGTGTTCAGACTTTGAATTTTCTGCTGAATATATCACTAATACACCAAAATACACCCCTTCAGCTGGATGTAAGGAACCTTCTGATGTTAACTGCATTGCTCATGTGACAATAGATGCGACAACCCAACTTGAATCATTTGACCTTTCAAGTTTGAATTCAAGAACAGTGATATTGACTGTGAACGTTGAAAAGGTAGTTTCTGTGACATTAGATAAAAACGTTAAGAATTTTACAGTCATTGGTAGAATGAGAGAGTCAAAACCCATTTCAGGTGTCATTCTGTCAGCAAGTTTACCAGAGTACACCTTTGTCAAAAGTGCAAATTTGACAGCATTTAATAAACAGGAAATCGTGATTTCACACGTCGTCTATTTAAATTCTGATGAAAATTCAATTGTTGAAATCACAAAGTTGAATATCAACTTTTGGGAATTCAACTGCAGACACATTAAATTATCTGAAGTTGTTGGAAACGTGTATTCACCCATTGAAGTCACTGAATTGATATCATATCAAACACAATTGTTTGTTTATCAATCAATACGTGTTGAATCGTTGAATATCATACAATCGTATGCAAATAAGCCACTCTTCTACTGTAATCAGAACATAGAGAGTATTACTATTTTGGATATCTTGGACGCTAATACAGACACTTGCAAAATTGTGGCCGATTATCTTCTTGTCTCGGTGAAACCAGTGGTGAATAGTGAAATATCTCCATTCACTAAAAACAACAGAATATATGTAGGGAAATGCACATTTGAATTTACACAATGCACTTTAACTCCAACACAAAAGGAACGCATTGACATGCATGAGTCGAGTAATTATGAATATATTTCATTGTGTCCAAACAGTACTGTAATCACCGATTTGTCCACAGCGAGTTATGAAGGTGGGGTCACTGTCTTTGGAATATCAGACAAGTCATACAAACAAATTAAACTTCCAAATAAAGCAACTTTGCAGTCGTCTGCAACCACTTCAATTGAAATCAAACAACTCACTTTTGGTGATGAAATTACCTTTGAGAGTCCATACTCAATTTTGTTGTTGAATTCCATTAAAACAGAAAATGTCAAAATACATGTGAACGCCCATACACTCATCAAACAATTTGACTTAAAAAGTATCCCAGAAATCACTATCAAACAAGGTGTTACACTGACTTACTCGGAATTGACACCAATAGAATCACAATTGAGTGTTCTCAAAGTATTTGGAAATGATAAAGCATTGATTGGAAACACCCTTACTCTCACTGTCACTGACTTGACTTTTGAAACGTTGTCATCAACAAATTCAATCATCAATGTAAATAAATTCAACTTGGAAGGTCTTAATATCAAATTTCCATCCGAAACCACAACAAAACATATTCCACTTATCAACACGTTACTTCCTATGAGTAGCACGTCTCTGCCTACAGACACCACACTTGTATGTAATTACAAAACATTGATATACAAATCAACATCAACATCTGCTTTTCAGTGCCCTGATGATGTACTTTGCACAGTTACTGACACGGAAAATTGTCATAGAAAAGACACCAATAAAGACTATAAACAGAGATATAATATCGAAATTTCAACTGCTGCGAATAGTGTGGTTATACTCGAAGACAATGCAGAAAAGACAAAGGATTATGATATTGTCAACGTGAAACAGGACGGCGTGACAATTCAAATCATGAAAGGAGGCATTTATACATTGAACGTGCATGCGAGTGGAGTTAAAGTGACGTGTATTGGTGATGATGCAGACAGTAACAAATGTACAATTGTTGTCAATACTTATGTTGATACAAATCAAATCAATTTACTTGGAAAGAACATCATTTTGGAGGAAGACCTCAATATTGATAATGTAATATCTTATGTCAAAATAACAGGAGATGTATCTGTAAGTACATTTGAAGCAACACAAATGTATATTGAAATGGTTGAAAATGGCATCTTAAGAGTAAAACAATATGCATCTTTTGGATCGCTTTTACTTGTAAAGAATTCACACATTTATGCATTTGAATCGTTTGATACTTCACTCTTACAATACTTGGGTGGTGAAATTGTATTTGATGCATCAGACAACCAGGCCGTTTTGAACGTAAACAGATTTGAAGTGAACACTAAAATTGTACAATTGGCAAAAGATCAATGCATCACTCCAATTATTAGAAAGGCGTTTACAAATGGTGAACCTGTGGAGACAAACAACGTTCCAGAACTAGTGTGGAAAGGTTCGGTAACGTTCACAGAACAGGGGACAATGGTGTATTACGACTGTGGGTTTTCAAAACTTGAATTATGTGGAAGTGCAACAACTCAACATACATGTGACGCTATTAATTGTAATGTTGAAGACGCTGAAACTAGACAAATATGTTACTGCACCTTTAATCCTGTTATTCAACAAGATTGTATTCTCTCTTGTCCCATCGATTCAACTCAGACGTGTGTATTTAATCCAAGTCAGTCGACAGCTTCCCTCTTTAATGACATTGAAATTAATAAAGACTACATATTGAAAATAGATAAATTGTTCAGGTACTTTGTTATGTCAATGAGTCAAAAATTGAACATAGTTGCAACAAAGTCGGTGAATATCTATCAAATCACAGACGAAAAAGATAAAACAGCGGGGGAAATAACAATTGACTCAACCGCGGATGTTTCAATAGATTCAATAAGATTAACGCAATCGGGTTCAAAACTTATTATCAAAGCTAATTCTCTACTTGTTAGAGAGATATACATCGAAAATGAAGTCACTTTAAATATCAATGCACCAATCACTTTAATGGACACTTCAAGCAATTTTAATTTTGATGAAGGTGCTGCTATCCCAAATGTCACTCGTCAAATTTACTTTGGAAAAGACGCGATAATCAATTTATATGAAAACGCATACTTTACTATTCAAGGTCCAATTATCAAAGATCCAATTACGAACAAGTTTGATGCAACATACAACAAGTTAACTCTTGAAGAATGCACTGTCACTTTAGATGCTGATTACATTGGGAAAGTCACAAAGAATTATCCAAACGTTGTGTTTAACTTTGAGGTGATTGGAGAAGTAATTGTCAACAAGGCAACAGTGAAGTATAATGATGATGGAAAAGGTGATAAGAATGTTACTCTCATATTGAATAACGATGTTTCACATATAACAATAACCGAATTTGAAACAAAGAACGTTATTGATGATCAGAACTATGCACTCATCATTGGACAGTCAAATGCCGTCTTGGACAAAACCGCAATACCCGAGTTGTCATGTTACATCTCAAAAGAATTTACTGGTAAAGTCAATGAACAAACGCAGTGGGAAAGAAGTCAATGTCCCTGTGATGGAGAGACGTGTATAGTCAACACTGAACTTACAACAACACCAGTCACTTATGAAGTTAATGATTTGACCTTTGCAAAGTATTACACAACAAATGGAATACTTTATGGGTCGAATGCAAATATCAGTGAATTGATTTCTCTTGGTGGAACCACAGAAATTAAAGTGACAAACTCGATGATAGAAATGGTAATAATGGAAAAGAGGGGAAGTATATCATTCTCTAAACCAATGATGGTGCCAACAATCAATGGAATAGAAGAGTCTGGAACAATTGATGTGAAAACACACTCTTTAACAACAAAAAGCATTACCAATGTCGACTTGTCTATTTCGACTGGTTCGATATTACTCGAGAAGGGAACAAAAGGCAACTTCAATGGAAGAACAATCACAGTCGCTGCAAGTGGAAGACTCGACATATACTCTTCGCAAATAATATTTGATGATAAAACTATTTTTAATATGCAAGTCGAGGCAGGACAACCCGCTTTAATCTCAGTTGATGACGATGCACTTGGTGACACACTGTCTATCACAACGGCACATTTCAAAGTCACGATACCAAGTGGTTCAAGTGGTAAAGTGTTCACTGTTCTTCGTGTGTTGACACCTATCAACATTGCAAACTTTGAGTTCACAGAAGACTCGACAACACCGGGTGGAAGTGTAAAAACACAAATAAAAAGTGGAACATTTGCATTCAAGGAAGCATGCTATGGTGTTGTATTGACCGACTTGCCTAATGACCAGATCACGTGTCCAGAAGATCGAATGGCCCGTGTTGTTGAGAAGTCTGAGTTCCCGATGTACATGATAGCAGTCATCGTCATCTTTATATTGATACTTGCTGTCATTGTTGCATTTCTGATTGCTTATGTGGTCCACGTCTATATTGTCAGAAGAAAGAACATGAAAGTCTTTGAAGAAGGGGAAGAGATTGCTGTTGATGAGAAGAAGCAGGACGAGGAAATTAAAAACGAAGACAACAAGCCAATTGCAACTCCACACAATCAAGAATAAACAATTTCTTTTTACTTATGATTAAAAATTGGTTACATGTCAATAAAAAATTTTTAAAAAGTTTTGTTCTCATCCAATTTTTGGAGAAAACTTGTATTTTTATAAAAACTTCAATTCTTGTTTTTGATCTCTTTTGTTGTTTTCATAAAAAGATTTGCGTTTTAAAATTGATAAATAAAGAAAACTTCTTATAAAAAAGTCTCAGTACCAAAATTCGAAAATAGTTTATAAATCTCTGAATATTTCGATAAAAGTCACTTATATTAGGAACCCACCAATTTATCATGATTAAATAACCGGATTTATTCAACTGGAGGGAGGCTGTCTGGGTAGCTTCCTGTCTGCAAGAGACATCTGACAAGAGTCTTGGCCAAGACGTACTGGTGTTCGTTGAGACATCCTTCTTTCCCAGAGTCCGCAATTGTCCATATCTTCTGCAACTCCTTTTTGTCTGCGCCAGTCGCCATCAGCGGAGCAAAACAGTCTTTCCCAAGTGCTTTCCCAAGTTCGTTTTTCGGTAACTTACTGAACTCCTTTTGATAAGACGCCAACTCATCTTCAGAGACCTGCAGGTCGTCCATGACTTGTTCAAAATTAGTTGCGTGTTCAAATGGATTGGTGTGAGTTGATAAATTGTCTTCCATTGGGAATTTCTTGAGCAAAAATGGGATCTGAGTACCCAAGGCATCATCAACATCGTTAATCAACTTCAAATCTATTTTTGGGAATTTGGCGAAGTCTGCGTTCTCGAGTCTCTCCTTGTATACATCAATTGGTGGGAAATCACCAGCGACCAAATTGTACCTTTTCATGACTATGTTGAATACTTCATTCAAATTTTTGACTAACTCTGCCTTCTTCTTGTCTTTCCCAAAAGTTGGCATTTGTTCACGTAAGTACGAAACTATATAAGCATTAACCTTAGCCAACCGGGCTCTCTTACACAGTTCGTTGACTTTTCTGACGGTGGCTTGTTTTGGGAGTGCGTGCAAATCTCTCATCAAGTCGTCTCTTTCTTTCTCGAAGAGTGAGGTGAACATGGTGTCCTTGAATGGCTGCTCCCAGAATGAAGATACATACACACGAAGACACTCCGGGGTTTGCATCACTTTCCCAAGTGACCACATCAAAGCACCATACACTCGCATCAACTGCTGCGACTCAATCATATCCGCCTTGTTCAGCACAAGTCGCATCTTCTCAGAGTGTTTCTTAACAGCTTCAATTGTTGCCTTAAACTCATCAGAAATATCCAATTTGTGGGCATCAAAGACTAAAATGATCATATCAGCTCTCTCGGCAAACCATCGAACAACTTCTGTGAAACTGTACGATCTTCCGATTCTCTGCTTTTCACCAGAAAGCACACCCGGGGAGTCAATGAAACTCAAATGTTCCAAAAGAGGAAGATTACAGAACGACCCGTTGAATTTGGCCATGAAGTCATTACCAAATTTGCTGAGTGAAGTGAATGGCTTGTCTGCTTGGACACAAAGAGTATTACCAGGAATTGTTGTTGAGTTTGGTCCGTGCATAATTGCCATAAAACCGTCTGTAGTAGGTTCAGGTCCAATATTAGAGCCCGGATAGTCATAGTTCAGCAAGTAGCTCTATGTCATTTCTCATCATCCAATTTGGTGTTTCACTTGTATAATAATAATAGAAACTTAATAGAACAAACTTAATAAAAGTGGTTTTACCAGTGGAATACTGTCCAAGGAATAAGACCATTGGTTTTGCATCAAAGTCTGCTGGTTTCATAAGAGGCGAGACCAAGTAGTCAAATTTATAATCCGACTCGAGTTTCTTGATTCTGTCGTCATAAATCTTCTTCACACCGTCGACTACAGAGACGTATGACGTGTCAAAGGTTTCAGCCTTCTTTTTCTTGCCAAACATGGTGTCTTTTTCAGATCGGCCTTGTCAAGAAAAAAGAAACTTTCTTCGACAGATCTTTCTATTTTCATTTGGTTTCGAATACTTTCCAATCCCATTTCTCTCAGTTTTTTCATATTTGGTAAAAAAATGAGATTTTTTAACTGTCAAATAATTGAAGCATTTCCTATCCTTTGATTGGAGTACATTTCCGGGAATTTATAACTAATTGTTTCAAATCTATAATTTTAGTTATTACTTTTATTGATTATTTTTAATGTGTTTATTAGTGAATTTTTTTGTTTAATTGTTTTTATTATATTTTACTATATTTGATTAATACTTTGGTAAACAAGAAATTCTGAATACTTCTAACTTTCTATAAAAACTGAAAAATAATGTTTATTCCCGTTTTGTGCGTTCTTTTATATATGTTTTATTTCACATTTTTATTTTTCAGTTTGACTTTAGCTTTTTTTGTTAAAAACCCTAAAAATTAATTTACTCAATTTACGGAAATAAAAAACACACACGAAATCATATTAACAAATGACATTTTGAATCAATAAATGTTTTTCAAAAGATATTCAATAAATCAAATCTCATCAAATATATTATCAAGAAAGAATTGTTCATATAAATGAATATGTCTTAAGCAAAACACATACAAATATAAAGAAAGAAATCACAAAGTTAAAATCTGTTTAACTTTTAAAAGAGCACAACAAATTGGAATAACAAAAAAGAGATTCTCACACAGAACAGAAAAGAGTCATGGTACGGCAAGGTTTTCGCAAGATTAATAACAGATAAATAACAGATAAATATTCATTCAAATAATGGGTATTATACCTAATATGATTTTTTTTCAATTTTTTGTTTTTTTTGCTCAAAAATGGTTGTGTAACTTAAATCACAGTGGGTCTTTTTGAACGTTTTTGTTAGAGGAAAAGATATATTTTTACTAAATATTAATGTAAAAAACGGGAAATAATAAAAATTACTTTTTGCTTGAATAAAAATAAAATTGATGCTCTAAAAATAAATATATCAAACAGAGTCTATCACTGAAAATGTTAAATTTTTTGTTATTTGTTAAGTCAATTACAAATAACATTCCTATAACATAAATATCAATAAAATAAAAAACTATTAAATAATTATATTTATATTATTGGTATGTAATAAAATAAACCTTGTCACTTCTGAATAAAACAAATAAACTAATAACTAATAATTAAAACTGCTAAAAAATAACTAATAATAATGAAATAAGGTTTATTATTATCTTTATATTTAACGTTATTATGTAAACAATTATTAAAAAACTATATATAATAATAATAATCTCACCAAAAAAGTAAAAATATTTGTTGATTATTAAATATACAATATAACATATAATATCAATACTATTATTTTAAACTATACAAAAATAAATAATGTATTAATAATTAATTAAATTCTTTAGTACATGATTAATATTTATAACTATACACTTATAGTTTTAATAATTATATATTTATTATTAATGTGAAATGAACAATTAATTATTAGGATATATATGTCTACAAAATCGGGCTTTTTATTTATAAAAGTTGATTAATCAAAAACAGTTATAGGACAAAATAATTATTTAGTCTCAATAATAATAATCAACTAAAACTATATATTAAAATATTAATAAATATAGTTAAAAGACAAACATTTTGAATTATTATTTATTTACCCAAAAATGATAGGTAATAAATACATCATTTATCGGGATCGATAACATTTCAATAACATAAATACAAATACTAAAAGAATAACAATTTAAAAAACAAAATTTCTAAAACATTGACATATTTTTAAAATACCATTTGAATTTCAAAATAAAATTTACATTAAAGACCTTTAAAAAAACAACCAAATATAACAAATCACAACAAATAAAAACCATCCAACGATGACAAATAAATCAAAAGAGGTTCAAAATTTACAATAATAATTGTCAGAACGTGATACACACAACACAAATTATAACAAAATCAACTTTGCCATGAAACAAAACAAAGTTAACAGTCATATTTTTTCATTCTAAAAAAATTAAAAACGTTCGTGAGTAAAAATAATTCAGTGTTTTTTATGATCATTTTTGTATAGATTTGAACTGTTTTGGTTTTTTGATTGCAACCAAC